ATGCATTAATACTCGCAGAAATCACAATAGCGCGATGCATCAAATGAACAAACCCACAAGGGCAATGATGAGGGTTCGAGCGTACGCCAGGAATGATCGCATCATTCCCGTACACCCTCGATTGTGGATTTGTTTGTGTAAGCATTAATTTTTTGGTATTGCATTCTTACTGGTCGTAATTACTCAGATCAGTTTTGCAATCTCACCACCAACAAGCTTATATCCAGTAACTTTAACATCATTACCTATGTATTATTGTAAGAACCCAAGAATGAAGGGAAGAGCAGAAGTCCTATTGGAAAATACGAGGCCTTTCCTATTTATAACCACCCAATCAATTTTATATATATGTCCAGTCTAGGCTGAAAACAATCAATGGATCCTACTTCTTTTATCTTACGCGGTAATTGGTTCCACAAATCAACACCCCTGTTACTAATGCAGTATTTACCCAGGCATTTCCTAAATCTAAACCTAATAAATTGATACACATTGTTTGGTCTTGATACTTTTAATACAATAGTAATATCTCTGTTGATTTGTCCATTCATGAACTTGTACTCATTAGAACATATGAATAACGGTAAAAGCAAAAGGGTTTCTGGCTATATGAGGAAGAATGAAGGGAACTGCAGAAGGCCTATTGGCCTATTCGAGTCAGATCCTATTTATTTTCCACGTTACATCATTCATATATGAATTTCTAACCTACGCTTGAAACAATGAAGGAATCCTACTTCTATTATGTTACACGGAAATTGCTCAACAAATCAACAACACTGCTACCGAACCAGTATTTGCCCAGGCATTTCCAAAATCTAAACTTATTAAATTGATACATATTGTTAGGTTTTCTAATTTGGGGAGTAAACTTTGCCATCTTCGCTGGACACGTTCAAGTGAATTTATATCCATACTATAGTACGGAGACCAAATTTGAAATGCATAATCTAAATGGGGCCTATCCAGAGTAAGATATAGCTGAAGAACCACACCAGGTGTCTTGTTACTAACCACTTCAATTGATCAATCCCAGCGTCCGCTTTTAAACCTGAACTGCAAAATATAAATGGGGCCTAAAATGAGGAAGATATAGCTGAAGAACAACACCAGCTGTCTTATCACTAACGTTTCGATAATAATATCAGTAAAATTTACCTTTTTACGATCATTTATTCATTGATTTATTGGTCATTTCAAATTTGTCCTCGTCTGTATCCCTTAAGTAGACTGGTCGTGTATGTCTGAGGAGTGCATTTTAGCGTGTCTCGTGGTAAGCAGCTACGGGGAAGGATTATCGCTACATAGGTCTTCCGCAAATTTCTTTGTGTCCCTCACTAACTCAAGCTGCATTCTTCTTTTGAGGTTTCTCAACATAACATATCGGTGCAAGCCTTTATTGCGACGCCTGAGTTTTGGAGATCTTAGCTGCTGAGAACTCCATTATTCTTACTTTTCTCCTTAATCATCTTGAAGCTTGTTGGGCAAGACGAAAGTCTCCACAGATGGCGTTTGTCTGACCATGGCTATAGCAACGGGCGAGAGTAAGGCAACAGTGCAACCAGGAGAGGACTGATCAAGGAAGTGAGTGTGAGTTGAGAATGTGGAATTATATACTAAATCTAGTCAGGTGAAATCGGGTGATATGCAATCGTGACCAATAGAACGAGGGAGAGTTAACTTTGTCCTCCCTCGCTGGACGCTTTCTCCAGTGCATTCACGTCCATTGTACATTATAACGACCAAAACTGAACTACAGAAATATAACATGAACAATTTGCTACCGAAGAATAAGTATTTCATTACTAACTCTTGGAGAAAAAAGTTCTTAGTATCCTCTTTTTCCCTATTTCAAACATGTATGCATTAATACTCGCAGAAATCACAATAGCGCGATGCATCAAATGAACAACCCCACAAGGGCAATGATGAGGGTCGAGCGTACGCCAGGAATGATCGCATCATTCCCGTACACCCTCGATTGTGGATTTGTTTGTATAAGCATTATTTTTTTGATATTGCATTCTTACTGGTCGTAATTACTCAGATCAGTTTTGCAATCTCACCACCAACAAGCTTATATCCAGTAACTTTAACATCATTACCTATGTATTATTGTAAGAACCCAAGAATGAAGGTAAGAGCAGAAGTCCTATTGGAAATACGAGGCCTTTCCTATTTATAACCACCCAATCAATTTTATATATGTCCAGTCTAGCTGAAAACAATCAATGGATCCTACTTCTTTATCTTACGCGGTAATTGGTTCCACAAATCAACACCCCTGTTACTAATGCAGTTTTTACCCAGGCATTTCCTAAATCTAAACCTAATAAATTGATACACATTGTTTGGTCTTGATACTTTTAATACAATAGTAATATATCTGTTATTGTCCATTCATGAACTTGTACTCATTAGAACACATGAATAACGGTAAAAGCAAAAGGTTTCTGGCTATATGAGGAAGAATGAAGGAACTGCAGAAGCCTATTGGCCCATTCGAGGCAGATCCTATTTATTTTCCACGTTACATCATTCATATATGAATTTCTAACCTACGCTTGAAACAATCAAGGATCCTACTTCTATTATGTTACACGGAAATTGCTCAACAATCAACAACACTGCTACCGAACCAGTATTTGCCCAGGCATTTCCGAATCTAACTTATTAATTGATACACATTGTTTGGTCTTGATACTTTTAATACAATAGTAATATCTCTTTGTTATGTCCTTTCATTAACTTTTACGCATTACAACATCTAAATAAAGGTAAAAGCAAAAGACTTACTGGCTATATTAGGCAGAATGAAGGGAACCGTGCAGGAAGGCCTATTTGCTGTTACGGCCCTCTTGGGTCGCAACTGGGTTCTTACTCTGATTTTGTTAGAGAAAGGGTATCCAGCCCCAAGCGAGTAGTGGCTTTCAGGGATGTGATCAGTAACGCAAGTAAACTAAAAGGGGAAGGGAAAGAAAGGCAAAACTTAATATTATAATTAGCACTTCACCAATAAAATATATAAGAAGATTACTCGGGGGAGGGTATAAACACTACACAGGGGTATTATCTACACTGTCGTCTTCTTCTGAAGACTCTGGATCTTCTCGATGCCAAGTTCTCGGTGCTCTCGTGGCCTCACGACGAATCCTTCGAAGAGCCGAGTCTACCCGGCTACAGGCCAGCCAAACCCAGTTCCACTGGGGGCACCGCCGTGGAGGCCGTCAACCACAAGCCCAGCAGACAGCTGGCAGGTTCCGAATCAGCAACACTGGTCAGGCCACTCCACGAGCGATACTAGGGTAGCGCCCTAGTCAGGAGCCTCGTGTGATACCACAGATCACTCTCCTGTCCACAATACCCTAGTGGTTAATCGTCTCCACCAGTCAGTCCCGGGTATGACAATCCTCAACTGCCGCTTCACAGGCAGGGTAACAGCACAGTGCTCATCCGGGAGGCGACTCACAGCTGCTGCAGCAAAACACTTGATGTCGAGACGGCTGCCTTTTGTAGACTGATCCAACCTCCATTACAGCAGTCCCAGGTCGACTCTGTAATCAGACACGTCATCAGTAACAGGGACACACAAAAGCACCTCACTTACAGGCTCAGACACAAACGCCCGACGTATCCACTCCATAGATGGCGTTGTTCTCTGAGCACCACCTCACCAGAGGTCAGCAGCGGCTGTGTTGTGAGCTGAACAGGACTGGAAACTGGCCCTCGTGGCCAGTACACCTCGTCCTCACCAGGTGTCGTCGTCCATTTGGAGGGGGTTTTGGGAGCTGACCCACAGATGGCGCGGTCGTCACTGCTCCATGCTCGGACGCTGGATTCGGGTCCGTAACATTGGCCCATTCGAGGCAGATCCTATTTATATCCAGGTTACATTTTTCATACATGATTTTCTAACCTTCGCTTGAAACAATCAAGGAATCCAACTTTTATTATGTTACATGGAAATTGCTCCACAAATCAACAACACTGCTACCGAACCAGTATTTACCCAGGTCTTTCCTGAATCTAAACTTATTCAATTTATACCTATTGTTGCAAGTTCTATGTTGTGTTGACCTATTAATTCCTTATTATTATTCCCTTTGGTATGTCCATTTTTCCACTTCTAAACCTCTATCATGTCACCCCTAACTCCTTGCCTTTCCTGTGATTACAATTTTATCTTAGTTAAATCTTTCTTCATGTAAAAGGTTTCTAATTTGGGGAGTAAACTTTGCCATCTTACGCTGGACACGTTCAAGTGAATTTATATCCATACTATAGTATGGAGACCAAATTTGAAATGCATAATCTAAATAGGGCCTATCCAGAGTAAGATATAGCTGAAGAACCACACCAGGTGTCTTGTTACTAACACTTCAATTGATAAATCCCAGCGTCCTCTTTTAACCTGAACTGCAAAATGTAAATGGGGCCTAAAATGAGGAAGATATAGCTGATGAACAACACCAGCTGTCTTATCACTAACGTTTCGATAAAATATCAGTCCAATTTACCTTATTACGATCATTTATTCATTGATTTTTTGGTCATTCCAAATATTTCCTCGTCTGTGTCCCTTAAGCAGACTGGTCGTTGATGTCTGAGGAGTGCATTTTAACGTGTCTCGTGGTAAGCAGCTACGGGGAAGGATAATCGCTACATAGGTCTTCCGCAAAATTCGTTGTGTCCCTCACTAACTCAAGCTGCATTCTTCTTTTGAGGTTTCTCAACATAACATATCGGTGCAAGCCTTTATTGCGACGCCTGAGTTTGGAGATCTTTGCTGCTGAGAGCTCCATTATTCTTACTTGCTCCTTAA